GCTGTTTGGCATTGGGGAAAAGCATAACACCCAGCTTGGCTAATCAAATCAGATCTCGTACGTCGTATACCAATCTTGTCCAAACTTGATGTCAGTAAAGGTCTTCCAAGTGTTACTACAGTTCTTTTCAGCAACAGCAAAACAGGTCGAGTGCTGCATCGAGTCATTTAGTACTTGAAAAGCGTTAGTTTTGATAAGTCATTACTTTTCCCTGCTATCATAATATAGGCTACTGAAACTGATGGTTACAAACTTCAGCTGTTTAGTTATACATGTACTTGCACTGTGAAGGAGTGCTCGTATTGCTACTGTGGTTAACTTTGATAGCTTTTAGAGCTGCGATTTGTGATCCTTCTATGGTTTACTGTCTCTGATAGTCTGCTACAAGCTGTTGTGTAACATGGACATGCGTTATGGCTCCATGAGTGCTGCTGTGGTCACATGTTGAAATTATGTTGAAATTTTGACCAGTGGTCAATGCGGTGAAGTTTATGTTGAAATACAAATGCGGTTTGGATGATTGCTGGCTTGCCAGTAAATGTGTGCTACTTTGTGCTACAGATTGTCCCACGTCAGGAACCATTTTTTCTTTTAAACACACTGAACTTGTGACAGGGTGGAATCAGGGTGGAATATTGCATGCAAAACTGGCTGCCACTCTCCTCATTACCAAGGGTAAATATTAAAGTACTTTACATTAGAAGTTCTATTGTAAAGTACTTGACTTTCTGTGAATATTTCTAAAAACTGCTTGATTACAACCCTTCTCTATCCAATTTATATGAAAGGGTGGACAATGTTGTATAAAACCAAATTTTACCAACTTCTAGTCATGGCTTCTAGGAAGGCCTAAATCCCTCTTACTTCATGCAAAATGTGGAATGACAGTTACAGACAATCAAGGAGATATGCTTAAATGCTTGAGCTTTGTCTACGATAAAAATAGCAAAGCTGATGCCTATGCGTGAATTTATTTCCAGATGGAAAAAAAAATATATTTATAAAAATGTTTAAACAAGCAGTTTTCAACACCCAGTAAGTGCTCAGCATACATAATACTTCTAGTATAAAGGTAGTTTTGGTTTATTTAACATTTTTGATCACTGCACAATTCCATGTGTTTCATAGTAATGTCCACTATTAAAGTGAGCAAAATATTAAGAAGTACATACATATCCAAACTTGACTAGTACTTTATCTCTTTTCTGAGGCCTTGTATGCAACCTATAGATGGTAATCCATATCCAGATGATGATCCATAAAGAGATTAGAGAAGACATTTAATATAAATGTTTAAAAATAGGAAATGCATCATGTAAAATGCCAGACTGATCAGGTGCAAGCTTAACCTTAAATCTTCAACAGTACACCTGAGCCTAATGCTAGCGTTGAAGGCTTGTAGTTGAACATGCGGTTCCCCACGTGGACGACTTTGGTAACTGCACAGCTAAGAAAACAGCATGCAGGAGTAGGGAACTGAGGGCTGGAGTCAAGCACAGTTTGGTGATTTCCCGCAGTTTTTCTAGCACACCAACTGAACCTGGTAATTACCTGATGAGTTAAATAAAGTCTGACATAAAATCTGAAATAAAATCTGGCTCTCCAGGACTAGAGTTCCCAACCCCTCATGTATAGCTTGACATACCAACTTCTGAGTCTTGCATTGTAACCTAAGACTTTTCAAGCCATTACAAGCCATTACATACTTAATTCCATCAATCACCATAAACATGACAAAGTAACCAACAGACGTCATGGATAGCCAGAATACGTTTAATAAAAATAATTAAACCTCAATTTCCTCTATAGAACTTCATAGAAAGTAATTCAATAAATTAGAAATGACTTCTTAAGACAGGTATTCTCCACTACATGAAGTATTTTTGACTACACAGACCACAACTTGCAAATATTGCAACTGTCCAAAAAAAAACAAAAAAAAAAAAACAAAGTTCTGCAAAACGAGGACCCCAGAAATGATTTGTGGTATCGCCTATCAAGAGCATATAATAAATCATAAAAATAAACAAAAGGCCATTTCTGTCTGTCATTTCAATGTCTACTTCACACAATTGAGAAAAAAAAAAAAGTTTTTTTTATTTATTTCTTTTTTTAACAGTAGTGTATATACGCATTATATGCTTGCATGTCGGATGTATGTCCCAGGAAAGGTTGTGGTTATGGTCAGTAGTCCAGCGTTTGCAATGCACATCAATGCAATACACATGAAATACTACCTGAACTTCTGAATGAACAAACATGACTTACAAAAAAAAACAAAACAAAAAACAATGTCAAATCTTTAGTCACAAACATCATTGGGAAAAAAAAAATTACTCCTGCCTTCACAAAGATAAGCAGCCTGCATCATATCTCGTCAAATTCTTTATATTTTTCTTTTCAGAGCGGGGAGTTTACAGGTTTTAGAAGTTAAACAGATGTAGCTCTGCCCAAGTCATGATTCAGTAGCAGTCTTCCAGTAAGACCAGTTTGCAGCTTTAGTCAAAAAGAGGAAGGCATTGCGATTATTTTTAGGCCATATCATGATGGGCACCAAAAAATGAAACTGAAATGAGTGAATGATGTGCTTGGGACGACTACAAATGACTGACTGTTAGTGAGGTGAAATGTTGCGATGAGGAATAAATAAAACACCTAACAGTCTAAGATTTGCCTGATACCCTAGAGGAAAGAAAGTCTGTAAGGAACACCACTATCAAATATGCTGTACAGAAAAAAAGTGCCCTCATCACTCTTGGTTAAGTATAATGAACAAATGAATGCAATTCAGAAATGAATATATTTTAAGTAAAACTAAAGCAAACACATTAGCTTAATGGGACCAAGTTTTTCCCTTCACTTGCATGAAGAGCAGATTCAGAGGTATGGTGTAAGAGCACTTCTAAAACAGCATTTATAAAACTATCAGCACTTGTGGAGACACTGGTGAGACCCAAATTACAGTAATGGTAAATAGCAACGCCTGGGTGTACTGAATGTTACGGTTACTGTCCTAATATAAAATTCAAAAACACTTAGAACTTCTTGCATAAATTGAAAGCTGACAATGTCTCTGGATGCTTGACAACTCTTCATAAATAATAACAATAAATAAAAAGACCAGCAACAAATCACTTGTACGCATTCATGGAAACTTGGCAATTCTCAAGTTTACTACACTCTTCTTTAGTACAGTCTAACAGAATATAAGCATTCATACAAGTCAGTATTATACACCTGAAGTGTTGCTGGCACTGTTGATACAATTCCAGAGTGGTCTTTATGCCAATAAATGTCACCCCATGTCTCTAATGTCATCTAAAGGAGTTCCCCTGATTGCTAATACCCAGAGTAAATCTGCACAGTACAGGTAAGTTGTTTCCTTGTTCCAGCACACCCTTCTGCTGTGTTAGTGTGGAAAACGAACAGGGAGGAGGAGGATGTATCAGTTAGCTAGATAACTTCAGCCCAAACTTAACCCTATCCAGTATAAGAAGGAACGCTTCTATTGAACAACCCTCCCTTTGCCTAGTTATCAAGGTTAGTGAGAATTCTCGTTTGGTAAAACCACTCCCAGTACCAAGAAACGACCCATCTAGGGCTGTCACGATTGACTCAACTAACTGAACGGGGGGGTGGGGGGGTGGGTGCGTGGATATTAACTTTGAAATCACTTCTGTTTGAGTCACTGAGCAGGATCTCTTAAATGCATTTATGTTTGTGGTTAAAGATTTCACATATATGTAGTAAAATGTTTGCTGTTACAAATTGAGTACTCACCAAAATAACTGCTAGATAACTTGATTACTAACATAAATGAAAGTGACAGCCCTAGACTGATCAAGTTTTGTTTTCATAGTAAATACGTGCCAAACAGAAAAGACAGCCTTTTCCAATTTGTGTGCCTCCAGAAAATATCAGATTCTTCTCTTCTGAGAGCATTTATGAAGTACATTATCTTGTAGGTCAGAATTCTCAAACTTGCACCCTGGAGGGCTGCGTCATCACACAGTTTGGTTTTCCCTGCACTAACACACCTGATTCAATGTAATTATTATATAATGTTTGGAAAAAAAAACGTGGCCCTCTAAGACCTGAGCTTGAGAACCCTGATGCTGAGTTGTCTACACATACTAACAGTGTGATTTTTAGCTTCAAAGATGCTTTCAAATACTTTGCTACAACCAATACTCTAATACTCCATGCAGATGTTGGACAAACACCGGTCCAAACTAGGACTTAAAAGACAATGATGAAGCAATATCCCAAGCAACTGAAAACTGAAAAAGCAACACAGGCCACGGCAGAAATGACTTTCAAGATTAATGGATGCTTCATGCACACGTGTACACAAACACTAGAGGAAGCTTTCTGATTTCAAGCAAGAGGTTTGAGTACCTCTAAAAGACAAATCCTAGGCATTTTAAGCATTGCCAGCTCTAGACCTACAAAACACAGCTAAGATGTGAGGCAGCACATGCTTATGTTTCGTTTTTACGTAATGCCTCTTTAGGAACACTTCATTTCTCTACTGCTCTTAGTCCAGTTTATTGGGGAACAGCATTTGGCATGTGAACACATATCGCTAGACTTCTCCATGTTCGTCTGGAATGCAGCATTTGGCATGCACCCCCCAAACAGTCCTTTCATAACACCATTATATATGTCTACATCTGTTACATATTAAACATTATTATACTGTACAACTGCTGTGACCCTTATGTACCAGTCTCCAGTACTTATGTGACTGACAAAGCATGACCAAATACACGTTTAGTTGTTTTGTTGGAAGAGTTAGAAGAAGGCTTTCTGAGTTGAGAGACGAACTGATATGGATGCCAGCAAGGCCTGAAATGTGCACTGGGATACAAGGATGAACAGGATGTACCATAGAAAGATGAATAAAGAAAGAAAGAACGAGAAAGAAAAAATTGAACAGAAGATGGAAGAGAAGAGTAAGTAAAGAAATTATGAAAAGGAGAAAATGAGTGGCTAAAAGAACAAAGACTCAGTGAGGAAGAATGTAGAGGGAAGTGTGGTGACAGCGGTATCTACAGCTTCAGTGACATTCGTTAGCTGCCTGTGTTATTGCTGAAGTATCTAGGTTTACTGTATTGTCTGTGAAATCCAGATGTGTACGATCCTGCAAAATTATTTACAAAAGAAACCAAAATAGTCGAGTTCTGTTTCTCCCACGCAAAATATATTAATTATACAGCTCCCCATGAGCAATAATGTCCTCATTTTTAATAAAATTAAATCCCAACATAATACAGTAATGCCAATTTTTGATTTCTTCTCTGTTGCAATTGTACATCATTGTGCAATACAAGGTTCACAAAGTTCATTAATCTACTAAAGTTTTTTTGGACATGCAAAATGTCTTTTCAAAACAACATTGTACCTAAACAAACACTGAAATCTTATTTCAGCATCTGTAGAATCTTGTCTCTTTTTCCATTTTTTGTTTATCTTTATTACACAACACTTTAGTTCTTATATTTACATGAAAAAAAAACAAAAAAACAAACAAAATCATGATGTAAGTAAGTGCTCTTATATGTGTTTGTATGTATACATTTCTAAGAGATGTATATAAATATATAATATGTATTTATATATGTATAAAGGCTCAGTCTTCATCACTGGAATCAGAATCCTCAGATGATGATGACGATGAGCTTTCAGACTCTGAGGAAGATGACTCTGCCTTCCCGGAGCCCTCTGGACCACTGTTGTCCTTCTGATCCTCTAGCTCCTCCCCTTCGTCCCCATCCTTTTCCTCTGATTGGCCGTGGTGTTGCTGCACGGCCTCGGAGAGGGTGGGCTGAGCCTGAGGGGCGGGCTGAGTGTTAGTAGCTTGCGGCTGATTGGCCACAGGCAAATTAAGGCCTGGGTTGAGAAGCATCCCTGGGTAAAGCATGCTGGAGAGCAGTAGGGGGTTGAGGGCCAATGGGTGGCCTGAGGCAGAAGCACTTAGCTGGGTAGAGTTGGTGGCTGTTGAGCTGCTAGCTGTGGAGCTTTGGCTCTCTGTCCTCTCCACTTTGCTGTCCACACTTGAGGTTTGAGCCGTCGATTCTCCACTGTTCTTCCCTGTGTCCTCACTACCTGTCGCCATGGCGCTTGCATCCTGTTTTCCCAGTAGACCGCTCATCCCGAGCAGATTGGGGAGCCCAGCCATGCCAGACAGCATCATGGGTAACATGGCTGCCATGTTTGCGGCATCAGGTTGCAGGCCAATGAGTCCAGCTGTGAGATGGAGGGACTGGATGCTCTGGAGGGCCTGTAGGCTGGTCAGGTCAAGACCAGCGAGGAGGCCGTTGGCAAGAAGGGGGTTGAGTCCCAGAGCTGCTGAGTTAGCTCCTGCATTAGCCGCGGCTGCAGCTTTGGCCAGAGCATTCTTGGGCCGACGACCTCGCCTGCTCACCTCCTCCGGGACGATGGGGCCAGTCAGGATACGGTCAAACATGCTCTCTGGAAGGTAGCCCTGGAAAACACAAATGGGACTGTTGAGATGAGATTTCAGATCTGGTGAAAGAACAGCACATCAGTAAATGCTAAATTGTAGTGTTGCAGCCTAGAGAACCCTGAGGTAGAGTATGGGTGGTCACTACGACAATACAATGTTAGCACGATTTCATGTTTCAAAGTTTTCAGATGTGTATATAGACATATATATGTGTATTATCATTACTTGAAAGAATACTCTGTATGTAACCATACTCAACATTGCTACTAAGCATGTTCACTTGCATCCTACAGCAACTGGTCTGTAGAGCAAGGCCCGTGACACGCATCAAAGCAACATATAAGAACTAGCACCAGCTATGTCCGACTAATGATTTTATTTGCTCACCGTTACCTCGTCTCTTGTGAAAATTTACACTTAAAACACCGCAAAGACTTCAGCTGACAATTGACAAGCACAATAGACCTTAACGCACCTGTGTGAAAAAAAGCAACTCTTCATCGCAGGAGTTAGCAACAGATTAAATGTATTATAACCTAAACCATATAACCTAAACCTAGTGTGTCAAAGTAAACCACCTTTAGCAGCGCTCGGTGGGCAAAAAAGCTACTTAAAAGGGAATCCTGAGTGGCACTACAGTGTAAGATCCCTATCCTATCACTGGATAGGATGAGTTTTTTAAAATTAAGAATGAAAGTTTGTACATCGCATAATTAATTAAAATGACAACTTATTTGACAAAAAGAAAAAAGTTATAAAAATATTTGAGTATCTCAGAGCTCTCATGCGTTTGTGTTTACTCAAAACGCACTGGTATGACAATCACATTATTTAAATATTTGGACATTTGAATGGGAAAAATAATTAAAATGCCCACAGCATTGCTACTTTCACTGGTGTTGAAAAATGAAGCTATTCTGTCTGTGTGTGTGTGTGTGTGTGTGTGTGTCAAGTTGCTTTCATTTCTCTCCTTGTTCACTCTCTCAGGACCGACCGCCAACACAGATTCAAACTGCTCATTCAGCCAAAAAAAACGCCCAAGGACAGACTACAGCCAACGGTGTCTTACACACTGAACAGGCAACGTCGATCTCCGATGCTCATCAACAGCCTGACAGTCTCGGATGGCCGACAGTCAGCTTGGCATTTCTTAGGCCTAACACTTTCCACTTTTAAAGACTAGAAAAAACACCTTGTGATGTATCTTGAATGTTTATGGTGGGTTTCTGGGGGCGGGCAATTTTGATATGTCTTTTCTTTTTTCTCATAAGGCTGAGGGATATAATGCTGCACTACAGAATACTGCATAACACACCTGATGTATTAATCTCTAGTTTTAGGCAGATTGCCCCTTAAATAACAATAAATCAACTGCACGATTCATTAAAAAGAGATTTACAGAGGCTTCCAAGTGGTGTCACTGTAATTTACCCTCTATTGTTGGAAAGTTTGAATGCTGACAATACCACAAGTACAAGACAGCACAACTAGCTTGGCTTAGTTGGATGTTGTGAAGTATGTGATGCTGTCTTTAACTTATAGTTTTTGCAACAACCCCAGGTCTAAATTAGGACTTAAAGGCCATAAGGAAGCAACATCAAGAGCAAGTGAAAGAGGCAACACAGACCACACTGAAAGACTTTTTTCATGGACGTCTCATTAATCCTAAAAGATGGGCTAAAAAAGTAAATAAGTAGACTGTTCAGACAAGTAATTATAGACCTGAAGTCATGTGAGGCCCAACATTATGATGGTTTCCCTAACTGTGGTGTAAGTGAGGATGCAAACTTTCGTTATTCTCACCGATTGTTTGACCACATCAGCCCACTCTGGTGGAACGCCATACTCTGGGTTCTCCTGAAGAAACCGGCACAGGTCCTTTAGAGGAGGGGCAAACGCACCACCAATCTGATGAGAGGAAACAACAGAGTCAAACAAGGTGATGCAAAAAACATGGAGCAGATACAGTATACACTTCCTAAGACTTAGTAAGAGAAGTAAGGGAAACACAATTAGGAGGCAGAGAAAACAGTGATACAATCATATTTTCCCTCTAACCTTGCGAGCATTTCTCCTGTTGATGATTTGAACTCTTTCCTCTCCTGTCAGGCTGTTAACGTCAATCTTGTTGGGGTTTCTGCAGCGATGCCTTTTCTGCTTTGGCCGCCCATCCTGAAACTGCGTCTTATTCATGGTCTGCTAACACACACACACACACACACACACACACACACAAACAATTTGACTGTGATAAGTTCAGGTCATATTTATTTTTTTTATCTATAAGAGTTTTTTAAACAAACAAACAAACAAACAAACCAACCAAAATACAAGGCTTACATCAGTAAGCAAGCGGGGTCAACTTACAGGAATGAATGCTCCAACATCTGCTACAAAGCCTGGGTGTTCCTTCAGCCACTGATCTAGATCCTTCCGCTTCGGAGCATCATCTCCAGCCAGACGTGTCCCGTTTTTGAGGTTGATGACAGGGACTCTGCTCTCAGTGTCAAGCGGCCCAGTGCTCTGAGGGAGGCTTGACCCAGGGGACATACCTGCAGGTACTGCCCCACTCCAACCTGGAGGAACCTACAGACACAGGAGATGGCAGGCATCAAGCACAGGTGCTGAAATACAGTATGTAATCAAACAGACGTACAGTGTATATGAAGTTTTTGCATAGAGATCCAAGTGGAGATGCACAAATCACAAATCATGTGTCTTTATAAGTATAATTACATGTCTCCATACCTTATCAGGCATTACAGGAGGTCTGTTCTTGTTCATGAAGAGAAGATCCATCCCTTCCACATTCTTCCTTCTTCCTCTCCTCCTCTTCACCACCGGCTGACCATCGACCACTCCATTCAGACGCATCTGACCAGCCATACCAGCCACGCCAGCCACGCCAGGCATGCCTGCCACGCCTGCCATGCCCAGAAAGAAAGGATGGAAAAAAGCAGAGAGAGACTGATTAATCAATTACGATACATGTTAACTGACAACGCAAAGTCGGTCTTAGCGATACTTATTGCTTCAATATAAAGATGAGCCTCCAATAAGTAACATTTCTACCCAAGCACAGACCTTTCTGTGGGGTTTTAGAAGAATATATCTAGTTGTTCTGAACACATAAAATTTGTCATAATGCAGGCTAATCTTTTATGCTACTGACTTTTCAAAATTCCTGTATAAATAAATTAAGATGTTAATGTCATCTGGAGTGGTTTGATGTGAAACACACCATTCTAGGAAAACCTACAGTCAGTTTACCATGGTGGTGACAGGAACCAGAAAGCTGTTACATGAAATGGTTACAAATATGCTGCCTCAGACTTTTTAATGATAGTTTTGGGATAAGGTCTTGTTTACATTGCAACCCCTGGTTCCTATCACAACCCTGTAAAGAAATCTGAATCAGTAAATTAACCATTACAAATCAGACAACTCTGAATGACTTTGCTTGGATCTAAATGACTGAATTATGCAGAAATTGTTAAAAATAAGCAGGAATGTCCATTAAGAATTAACTAATATGTAAAATATATTACCAATAATCATGATGTTTATAAACATAACCGCGACATGGTATTGTTATCCATATTGTGCAGCCCTTGTGCATATATCTATGTAGTGTGTAGTGTAACATACACTAGTTGAAGTGTACTGCAACATATTATTGCATTACCATGGGGATAGCTGTTAAGCGACTTGGTGTAGTCAGTCAGACCACTATCAGAGGCACTCTGCAGCTCCTGTAGCCTGGCCAGATACTGCTGCTGGGCAAGAGGTCCCTCCTCCCCATCCAGGGGCCGCTTTAAAGACAATCCTTGCTTCTGGAAGGTCAGCTTCAGACTGTCTTCCTGCTGAAGAAGTCAAAAGTCAAAAACCAGGGAGGGTAGTTTCAATGTTCTAAATTCTTGTTATTTTCACTGACAGCAGCGCAAGCTAAGAACTACTAACGAAAGCAAAATTAAATTCCAAAATTATAATAGTCTGAAATGAAATATCAGAAGTTAAATAAAATTACTTGAATATCAAATAAAATTACAATAAACAACTGAGAAAGGCCAACTGAAATCAAATGTTGCAGTTGAGCTGTACTGTGCAGAAGCAAACAAAAGCAGAAACAAAAGCAAACAGAACATGCCTAATGCCGCAACAACCATTGCGGGTCAGCATGTCTGGGGGAGAACTTAAAATAACATACGTCATTGATTTTGACTGAGAACTCCTTTTCTCTGTCTGCATCATGCTTCTTCACCTTTGAACCCTGAGGAGAGGCTGCGGGGTCGTCAGCGAGGTTGGCTGCGTTGTCCAGCAGTTTAGTGGTGTAAAAAGAGGCTACTGCATTTCCATCATATGCACGCCTAGACCCAGGCCACTTGCCTTTCAACACAGCCTGACAAATACTGTCCAATCGGTTTATCATGACACGATCCTGAGAAATGAGGACAACAGCGGTATGGTGACATCACTCTATAACACTTACCATATCGTGCAATGCAATGATCCACAGAACAACAACACCACCACCACCACCACCAACAACAAGCATTCGAAAATACTGCTCTTCAAAATGAGGGCTTACCTTCGGCCAATAGGAAGCAGCAAGCATGTAGCCTCCCTGGACAGGTTGGGAGGGGTTAGTGATGCCGTTGGTCACGTGACTGTCCTGCATGTCGTCATGAGTGGTGCTATGAGATGCTACGCTGTCCTCATCAAAGCCTTTTACACCAGGCACTGCTGATGCTACACAGACAATTTTAGACCTCATTATTTTATGAAAGCAGGTAAACAACTGGCCATCACAGACACATACAATTGAGCAGTACACTGGGCAACACACAATATAAAAATGTGCCGACCTTACTGACATTCAACTAGCAATCTGCAGAAAAGCAGATTTCTTTGAAATCAATAGTCCAGTGACCTTAATCTGTCTGTCAAATGTATCTTGATGGTGCTAAATATATTTATTTCACATCTCTGATAAAATAGACCAACACTATAAAAGAGTAGCAGAGGCCGTTTCAAGTTTGTGCTCATGTATCAGATGTCTGCAATTTGGCAAACTATTAGTATATTACATAAAGAGGGCTTTTGCTTTTTGATATGCTATATTTTAGATATACACTCATCGTTTTTGTCTTGTTTCCCCATGTTGAGCAAAAGGTGCTCAGTACTGGTCCAAGAGATCTACCACCCTGCAGAGTACAGCTACAACCTTTAGCCTTCAGCCATAATCTAACACACCTGATCCAAGTAATGGAGGCCTTCCGGAACATCTGAATATTAGAGCCAGGTGTGTTGGATCTGAACTCCCCAGGGTGGTAGATCTCCAGCACCAAGATTGAGAACCCCTGATGTGTACTGGATATGGTGTCTTTTCATGCCTACAAATACCAGCAAACCCTTGCACCATAGGAAAGCATTATCAAGAAATGTTTAGCAATAACTCCTGAACTTGGAGTGTTACACTGCTGTGAACGTGTGCAATGAGGCACTCAAACAGAGGGGGCGGGGGGGCGGGGAAAGGTACCCTTACATATCGGTGGCTATCAAAATTAAATTATTTTATAACTGAACTGCTTCAATACTACAGTATCAAAACATTTAGTGCCATTCGGTACTGAATTTTAATACGCAAGTAGTCAATCTTCTCAGCATCTGAGGGTTGATAAGCATGCTTGTTCCAAAATCTAGACTGCTGATTGGCTGTCTTAATTACATTACTTATGCATGTTATTAATTACAGTGTTTTTATATACCCACAGCCAGCATCTCAGACTCATTCCTGGTTTAAGTCACACCCACTAGCAGTTAGTAATTTTTGAAAAGCTACTGAAAACACTAGCGTTCTGGAATCGGTATTGAAGTCAAGGCGTCAGTCTTGAAAAAACAAAAAAATTCAATATTGATAACAATACCCAGCCTTACAATCTTCTAGCATACTCTTTGGACTGTTATGTTACCACAGTGAATGGGTTTTGGTCCCATAGAGTAGGAGTGAGCAATTTGGTATTTTCTACTATTCAGATGATAATGATACCACAATATATACCAATAATATACCAAAAAAAAACAATAATAGTAACAGTAATAACAATAACAAAATCTACAAAATAATAATAATTAATGTTATAACTAGTATTGGTCCAAGCAAAGACGGTCCGCGTCACTAGTTTTTTTACCTGTACTGCACTTTAGAGCAAGCCGGATTTGTCAGGGAAACTGCATATCTGGCAACCCTGAGTAAGAGGGAAAAATCTGTTTTGTCCAATACAGAGCCGTGGCACTGGTCCAACAGAATGATACTAAAAAAGTTAAAATGGAAAGTCTTGCAAAGTAAAAATGTCTGGGGCGTCGCTGTTTGCGGTTGACTATGTTTGGGCTTATCACGGTATCCACGCTACAGGAAAACATACATCATGAGAGACCGTCATACCAGTATACCACCCACCCCTATCATTAGAGCAGTGCTTTTCAATCCTGGTCTGGCCTGCCTTGAACGTTTTAGTTTTTTCCCTGCTCCAGCACACCTGATTCAGGCCATTAAGTCATTAACAAACCCTTCCAGGGGACCTCCAGGACCAGGGTCAAGAACGACTGCCATGCAGAACTCAACAGCAAGATGCTCAATGAAGCTCAATTATTGGATTAACTGTTTGCAATTATATAGCAGAACTTAAAGGAAATACACCGCTACAACAATCTGGTCTGAACTGAATAAGTTGTCTTTTTTTTTTTTTACTGCACAATTCATCCACAACAGTGTGCACCAGTAGCTTTGCAGTTGACAACTCAAACACTCACTGTTCTTTGGAGCTTCTTCACTGTCGCTATCCTCAGAAGATGATGACGATGACGATGAAGAGGACGAGCCAGAGGAACAAGAAGATGATGAAGATGAGGAACTAGATCTTGAGCGTGAAGAGGAGGAAGATGAAGACGAGGATCTTGATGAAGAACTTGATGAGGAGCTTGATGAGGATCCATCAGAGTCAGAGTCTGAGCCGGACCGTCTTCTGGATTCCTTGTGGCTTCTCTTGCTCAACTTCTTCTGTTTCCGGGCAGCAGAGTTTGGTGTGAGCGGTTTCGTTCTGGCTGCCACCATCCGTCTCTCGTTTTCTGTTCCTTTCGCTTCCATCTCTTCTTTCACCCCCACCTCTCCAGTGGGTGTAGGAGGCCTAACAGAAGGACTCCATCTCTCCGTCCCTGCCTCTTTCTGTCTGCTCTCCTCTTCTCCCTCTGTAAGTGGCTCCACCTTAGGCATGACTTCTTCCTCCCTGTGGGCAGAGTTTGCTACCAGTGGTGATGCTGGACCTCCAGGAGCCTGGTTCTGCAGTAAGGGGGTTGGAGTGCGGGACTGCCCAAGCAACAGTGCCTGGTTTTGGGCTTGGGTTTGTGCTGGAACCCCCTTGTTCTGGCTGTAGTTCCTCTGAGCAGCCATGAAGCAGAGCTCTGGGTCACGCAGTATGTGGTAATCCGTACGGCTCACCCCATGCTTCGCTGCTCCGATCAGCAGGTCCCGGTCATGGGTTCCCGGCTCCCACCACACTGGCAGGTCTGGTCCCAGCTGGCACAGTGCCAGGCGCTCATAAAGCTGTGGGTGCCGCAGCACCTGCTCTCGCACTTGTCGGAGCAACTCTATGCGATACAATGTACGAGATGCACGCTCTTCTGTGATTGGCTGGATGGACAGAGAGGGATCCACTACATCTGAAGGAGGAAGACAAGGGGGAAAAATAGGGATTGGTCTTTCTTATGAACTTCAAGCCCAAAAAACACCACCAACTTTGTAAAACTAAACATTGACATTTTTTTAATTTAGATTTTATTTTTTCAAGAGATATTCTACAGCAATAATGTACAACTAGCTAATTTTTCATTTGTTTTGTTCCTGGTGATTTCCCTGTAGCTCTAATCATATCCACTCCTGTTCCACTCAGTTGCTCCTGAAGGGTTCATGAACTGAATCAAGTTAAATCAGGAGCTTGTAAATAAATAAAACTACTTAATGTAACTGATTTATCAACAAAGAATGGTGACACAGACTGTTGGTAAATTGTAATTTATTTCAGAAAATTTGGAAAATAATAATGCTTCCTTACACATTTCTGGCCTGTAGTGTATGTGCATGTGATATACTACTCACCGCCTTCCCTCACTGGCAGGCGGCAGACCCTCCTGCACATGGCAGTGAAAGCACAGAGGTATTTCTGGAGACTCTCATCTGTTTTCTTGTGCAGACGAGCCATTGCCCTGAACTTGGTCCAGTCGAAGCAACCCAAGTCTGGGTCAAACACCACCCCAAATGTAGAGACCACACGATAGAAATCTGCCTCTTCTCTCCTGGTCCACCTACAAAAAAGGAGAAAAGACAAAAGATTGAGTACCAAAGAGGACAGGGTATCTATTAAACTTAAACATGTTTTGTTTTTTTTTTTAAACTGCAAAATGACAGCATGCTTCATCATAATAACAAATTTCAGTTCAACAAAGACTATTTTAACTAACAACAACAACTCGAAATTGTGTTCTTTGCAGGACGTCTCACCTTTGTTGTCTCTCAATCTTGGCGGCCATTTTGGGATTAAGCGTGTGGGTGAGAGTTGGTGGCAGAGGGCAGAGGGAGGGACCCATAGTCTGCTGGGTTTGATGAATCTGCAGGATCTGTCTGCTCTTGGTGAAGCGCTGCGAGGCTGTAATGAGGCGCCGCAGTCGAGCTGTTAACGCAGATGGAGATGGCCAGTACGATCCTGTCCCGGCTCCAAGAGAACCACCTCCACCATCTAACACAGAACCACCTTCTAAAAACACACACACACGCGCGCGCGCACACACACACAATTAGAGTCCTGCAATGAGACAAACTCTGGTGACACCGTTTTGACTATGTTCATATACATACATGCACAAGTTACTAAAAAATCTGAAAAAATACAGAGTTAAGTGAAGCACTCATTTTATGTTTTTATGTAAGTGTAAAATTCACTCGTATCTGCATGTAAGGCTCGGCAATAAAACAATAACAATAATTACTGCAATATAACTTTCTTTGATGGAAATATAAGAAATGTTCGAAATGCTTGATGGACCATTCTCACACTTCCACATTTTGCCACATCACCCCCTGTAAGAAGACAACGAGTCCTCATCGCTATCCAGTGTTGTACTCTGTTAACTCTGTAGCTCTGTTAGCTTAACGAATTACTCTCAGATATTTTTCAATAATGAAACTTTAAAACATTTCCTCTGTGTGCTACCACGAGTGCGGTCACATAAAAAGATAAGCTTACAGCCCCATATTAATGTCAGCTGAAGGTTGGCATTTTTTGTGGTGTTATCCCCCCCCCCCTTGTTTTTAACCAACTATCCATTCATGAACTCTTACAGGTAGCTGAATATCAAATTCAAATTGCATATCCCCATAACATGACACAGATCTGATGTTTTCAGCAGACATGTGTAAACATAAAAATCTGATCTTTACAAAACAAGTCAAGATTGGATTGGAGCAAAAATCACAAAACGTGCAATAAGGCTTGTAAAGTGAACTTAGCCATGGATGTATAAAGCAGCAGCAGATATATGACGCTGCCCTGCAGAACAGAATTTCCCATACCTCCTCCTGTATCTGTTATAACCAAATCACCCGGAGAGGAAGCATCATCCTACAGAACGAGGAATAAGGATCATATTAAAAACAGTAAGAATATTCAGTCTACTTAATATGGACTAGAATAACAATATTCTGCCTATTGATCAAGTCTATGAGTTCTGTAACTGTCTTACCTCCATATCGTCTTTTATCAAAGCCGGTGCAGGCTTATATTCAGGGTCATCAACGTCCCTGCACACAGACATGAACACCAAACGTCAAGATGACACAGAGAGCAACAAAAGAACTGTCCCCCACATCTTATTTCTTATGGTACGTGTGTACATGTTTGAATGTGTCTTTCTACAAAAAGTATCTGTTTAAGTGTATGCTCATATCGTACCCATCCATAAAGTCATTTCCTCTCTGTTCAGCAGCGATGGCCTTCTCGTCTGGCCGGCCTACCCGCTCTAGGAAGCACAGAGCAGGATCTGCACGAATAGTGTTGTACTTCTCATAACCTGCAAAGCACAATCCACAGTTAGACTAACAGACAGCAGACTGCAAGAGGTTACTGTGATCTCACATTAATGAGACATATGCTCACTGCTGTAAGAAAACCTTGTATCTTTGCTATGATGACTGTAAAGTGTAAGGAAAATGTTTTAAAAAATAAATAAAAAAAGGACTTTTTTACACAGCTTTACACTTATTTTGATTTTACTACTTTGAAATATTTTGATTTTACTACTTTGCTACTGTGAAATATGCAATCTGTGACATGTTCAGATTTTAAGAGAATGTCATTAACATTTTCCCAACAGTATTTACATATTCATTATCACTGTAGCAATGGAATAGTTCGGCTAAAAATCAAATTAACATGATTTATCACTAACCCCAGATGAAGTGTGCTTCTTTAGTTTACAACAGGAGATGCTAAGCTAACATTGCTTAAGACTGTCACCAAACTTGTCTCTCGATTGTCAACAGATGCTCAAAAACATCTCTCAACCTGTTCAAAATGCATCCAGATCTTCATTTATTTTGTGTAGACAAATCAATTTGATTTAGAACATACACCTGCCAACACATAGCCCTACTTACAACACTGACCATATTCGAAGACAGCAATACAGGATTAGGGAGACAACAATGTGTGTTTGTTCTGCTCACCATGCTTGTAGACTCCTAGCAACAGACACTTGTCTGCAAGAGAATCCCACCATAAAGCAGGCAGCTCAGAATGATCCGGTTCAGGAACACAAATCTCTACCTCACTGAAAGAGACAACACAGAGTTAAAACAGGCAGGCAAAGGCTTAAACCCAAGCAATTACCAAGAGTCTCAAGCAGACGTAACATGTTTAGGCATTGCAGTTTAAATGTGTCCTTCGCAAGGCTTAGTCTGTGTGCGAAATTAGTCGGTGAACCGCAATATTGTCTTTGAACAGCAGATGGCACTGCTATGCAGCCCAAACACAATGAATTAGATAATCTGATATGAAAAGTTTATTTTTTTACATATTCAAATATTAAACCATATGATTTTATGTTAACGATTTACTCATTCTCTTGTACACCACAAGACTGACATTTAATTTTCATTGGCTTACATTATTAAAACACAACATAACAGATTCTGCAGCATTAAAAATTTATTTTTCATCATTTTCACATGGCTGAAAGGAGTAATTCATCATCCTTATACTGGACTACAAAAAAGTAACAGACGAAGCAAAACAAAAAGCTCTAGAGGCTTTATGACTGTACGCAGAGAAGGTGAAAGGTCAAGGTTAGCCTCACCTGGCTTCAGCTCCATCCAGCACTCTCTGACTCTGTTCACCAATGACCTCCTGTTTCAGATAGTACAGCATTCTCACTCTCAACAGCACCCTACACGGATGAGAGAAAGAGTGAGAGAGCAAGGGGGGAGGCAAGGGGAGAGACAGAGAGAAAAAGAAAAAGAAAGAGAAAGAGAAAGAGAGAGAGAGAGAGAGCTCACAATAAATACATATAGCCAGGGCAACCAAGCATGATATGCTGATTACTGGGAATACCTTTTTTCCCCTTATTATTAATAATAATTTTTAGACACAGTACTGTGGAAAAGTCAGAATCCATCATTCATTTAATTTCCAGTCAAATGGTCAGTAGTTTGTCAGTTTTCAGTGTCAGGAATGAAAGCAGAAAACGTATCTAACAGAAAATTACACAATAGCATCAACAACTAAGCACAACACAATGTTTTCAGTATTAAGTGTGTCAATCTTTTTTCCCCCTGCCATTCTTTACAGAAGACATGCTTTCAGTTTTTCAAAGAAATCTGCAAGGACATTTTCCCACATCTTACAAGTTGGCTGCACTGCTTCTCACAATCCAAGTAATCCGAAACACATTCAGTGACACGGAGATCTGGGTTACCAAGGTGGTCAATACACTGTTCTGAGAACCGTTGCCGCTTCTTTCTTTGTCCATTTCCTTTTCTCAGTAACTGCTTCTTGACAGCTAAACATGCCTTCAGACCTACAGTGTTGAGTTGTCTTCTCACAGTGGAAGGATGGACAGAAACACCTGTGGACTTTTTCAGATCTGAAGCAAGAGTGGAGCGTGATTTTCTCCTCTTTCTCAAAGATGAAAGTGTTAAGTACTGTTTATCTGTGGTGAAAGTTTTGGTGGTCTGCCAGGTCTTGTACGGTTGTTAGGAGCCTCATTTTATCTATAACTTTTCAAGAGGTTTTGAACTTCACTTCAAAATTTTTTCTACTTATTTTCCTTTGACTTTCACCTTCCTTGTGCAAGTGGATTATATATTATCTCCTCAGAAATATTTCTTGAAATATGAATAACGTACTTAACGACCATTTTTACTGGAATAAACATACTAATATTTTTACTTAGTGTTTTTTTTTTAATGAAATACAAACACATGCAAGTGCTTTATGACGATGCAGTGAATATTCCAAAGCAATGACATACACTCATATAATGTGTAATCTGATAGGCCACAGCACACGTCTAGATACACAACACACACACACACGTTGGCATTCCAGTCCTGACAGAAAAACGCAGATGTAGGCAAAGCTGATGTGTATCCAGTGTGTGTGTGTGTGTGTGTGTGTGTGTGTGTGTGTGTGGGGTGGGGCATGGGCGGGGGGGTACAGCTCCCACTAAACAATAGGGAACTTTCTGTGGTGGCAAAGTGCCCTGTGTCCTCTCTTTGACTCTCTCACACACCCCAACCAACACGCCAAACGGCTTTATGAACCCAATCAAAATCATGCACCATCACTTGCCAAATTTGTGATAAAGAACAATATTAAACTCAGCCTCTGTGATCCACTGCAAAAATCCATCAGCAAAATTAATTTCCCCCAACATGCCACTATTCAAACAAATCCTCAGCAAAACAGCATTTCTCTGAGTTCTTGGGTTTGCCGATACATAGTTTGTAAAAAAAAAAACTGCTGCCAAAAACAAACAAACAAACAAACAAACAAACAAAAAACCCACATGCATAAGCTTATAAGCTCCATTACGCTTTCCACGGTTTCACATTTTATTCTTGCATTAAATTGAGCCACTAAAGCTCAGCCACCTGGACACAATTTCAACTGCACGACTGCATTCACATCAGACTTCGTCCATTATTAAAGCTAACTGCAGTGGAACAGCTTGATTAATGAATTCACATTTGATTGTTACTAAGCCCAAAACTCAGTACTTTACTAAATTACTTGAGCATGTGTGTTCAGTAGAATGATATAGAATGAGTATAAATGTCAACATATCAGTGGATGCAGTAAACAGGGGGTTAACATTAAGAAAATACTACCAGTACACATACTTGTTGCAGTGGTGCTTGAGGTGTTTCTTGTACCCGTCGTCAGATAGCATGTGTTCTGGGTTGTGTTTCCTGATCCACTCGGCCTTCTGGATGTCAAATGTGCTGGACTGAGTCTTCATCTTCTTCCCCTTCCTCCCTCGAGGAACTGGCGTGGACAGCCCTGGAGGAAACAAACACACATAATTAATGTTCACTACACTAGAGGAACTACTATGCACAGCACATTTGGAATATTTTTTTTCTACAGTAAATCAGAAAAGTGAGATCGTGTCTGATTGAAGTGTCAATTAAATGGTAGCTCCCAGTATAAAGCATTACTTTATATTCACATCGTCATCGACTTGCAGTTTTCTACAATCATTTCTATGACCACGTGTGACACAAATATACAGATACACAGAAAATGCAATCCATCAGAAACTAGCTTCTCCAGCGTTAATTTTGCTGCTCTCTGGAACGCATGAGTTTTATCATTGAGGATACATGTAAAAATTGTATTACAGCTGTCCCTCTGATACACTAATCTAATCCAAAATGGGCTAAAGTCAACAACATTATTACAAAAAAAAAAAAGGTCACCAGATTTTTACTTTTACTAAAATAATAATGTTTGTGATATATTTGCACCACTATTCATATCTACTGAATGGTCATGCTTCTCTGGTCCTACCCAGATGGTTCTGGAGCTCCTTGGTCCTGCCATCCTCTGTCGGGGCAATCAGGTCCCACATGAAGCTTTTGATCTTGTCGTCTCCTCGGTAATGCACGAGGCAGTATGCAAGAAGCGCTCTGCAGATCCACTCCACATCTTTCTCGCTCAGCTGCCTCTTAAAACGGCCGTGCTGCAGGATGTCCCTCCAGCGGCCCCACCTGAAAATGCACATCACAGCTGTTACCATTTTAAGAAAACACTCCACCCACTAAGATATTTACTGTTATGGTAAAAATAGTAAGTAGGACAAAGGACATAGCTGTAGAGTTGTATCAGAACCACACCTAATCTCTTTACAACAGAATTAAAGGACCAAAAAAAAAAAAAACACATGAAACAAGACTTGTTTACTTTACACATCTTTTTCTTTCCCTGTCTACATTGCTTAGTTGAAGATGAAGGAACATCATTAAATGACAAAAAAAAAGAAAACCTCAGACAACAAACAGTAAGAAGATTTGGTGTAAGGGTAAAATTAAGTAAATTCGATTTTCTGCTAACAGCACATGCACTTACCCGTACACCAAAAGGTTTTTCTCCACACGGAAGCACTCAGTGCGTCCATAGCTGTTGAGGCGGTCATATGGACGTCGCAGTTTTGGCTTGTCGTCTCCACTGCTTTCACCCTCTGAAAGCTCAGCCAGCTCATCTTTAGTGGCACTGAACGGCCGTGTCTGCTTCCGCACCCTCGGCGTGTCTATCACCAGGCTGTTCTGTTGTTCACAAGGGTGAGATATAGAGTAAAAAAATAAAGATGGAAAAGCAAGAGAGATGGAACTTCTTTAGCAGTTGCTGTTTTGTTGTCAAACTCTGGTTGTTCTATTACTGATATTTTTTGTTCATTTTAGTTATACTGAGTATTTTACAAAGCAGGAAGCAGTAGCTGTAATTATAATCTGATTCTCAAAAAAAAGGAAACATTACTATGAATCTTCACTAAAATTAACTAGTTGTTCTCCTAAAAAAAGAGCAACCATGCCACCTTCCCTATGTTGCCCACATTCAACTCACTCTGCCATTGACGGTGTCCATGTCAATCTCAGCCTTCTTGGCCCATTTGTCCCAGAAGTTGGGGTCGTCCAGAGAGATGTCTGTGCGGTTCCCTGAAGCTACGAAACTGGCCTGTGAGTTTAGAGTAGAATGTTTTACTTGAACGTAAGACAGAAGTGCTAAAGTCATGCAAGAAGATTATAGACCAGCAATTCCCTCCAACAACTGCAATATATAGCCTTAGCAACTTCTATTCTCTTACAACTACGTTAACAATAAATTCTTACATTTTTTATTAATATTAGGATTTAGTGTCTGCATAAATCTGACCTTATTCATATAGCATATCTGATGGCCCATGTTTAATTGAAGTCTTTTCACAACTGTTTTACACAGGTCCATGGCCCTTCAAACAAAAGTGCTAGCCATTTTTGCAGTTTTTTCAAGTTCTGGAAGATGTGAATGATGTGTACAGGGAATAAGGGGGGGTGAGGGTCAGTATACAGTATATCACTGTATACAAATAATTTGTTCAGGTATGTGCAATGCTAAATTTAAAAGAAGGAGAACATGGAGGTTTCATAATTGGTGGGTAGATTTTCTTGCCATTCTTAATGCTTTGCCTAATGGGCTGGTATTTAAAAGGACAAATGATTGACCCCCAAAAATGGCCACTAAATGCCAAGAGTGGCAGATAATCAGTAGGCCAACCTTGGCAAAGGTGGACCCCCGTCCCTCTGACTCAATGGTGATGGTTTTGGTTCTGCGTTGGAGGATCTGGTCGATATCTTCCTCGCAGAATTTTGCTCCCTCATCTTCCTCGTCCATTAGGGCACCATATGCCCCACGCCTCAACAGGTCCTCAATCTCTTTCTTAGAGAGCTGCTGCTGGATCTGCTATATAGAAAAGAGACAAAGAGTGCGTGAGTGTGATCAGGCAGGTTTCCATCATCTTTACTAAAGAACCTGTGAAAAACAATCTTTTTAAGGGTGTATCGTTATTACAATGTGAAGAATAAATTACACATCAAAAACTACAGGAAAATCTGTTTCATTTGATACATGATCACTTTGATCAAAGGTGCCCTTTTTCATAGGGTTGCACTTCCATAACATTCAGTTTATACCCTCTATCTATCATCTCAGAATGTCCCTATAATTATGACAGCTGATGCTTTTCTTGCTTAACTCAGTAACTTACCCCTCCACCCCCTAGGCTGTTGTCTCGTCCACTCATGCTCTGTAGCACAGCCTTATCCAGTCCCAGTTTGAGGCTGGCTCTGTCAAACATCTCTCGTTCATAAGAGTTACGTGTGATCAGCCGATACACTTTAACTGCCTTATTCTGACCAATCCTGTGGCAGCGAGCCTGGGCCTAGGAGGAAGAAACATGTGAAATAGTTGCCCATTTACTCTTTGTGGAGACCAATGTAGAACATCATTGAGATAAAGAAAACAATACTAAAACAAACAAATGAAGAGTTCAATACTAAAAACAATTTCAACTTCAGGCATGAGAAGTGCACAGAATGCAAATCCCAGGCAAACAATCAAGTTTCCTGGTAACTAAGAAACTTTTAAGCCAAACCCACATTTATCACTTTTTCCAGCTGTCCTGGCTCATCCAAATAATAAAAATGGAATGTACTGAAATTTCGGCAACCTAAAATTGTTCAGCTGAACAACAGTGCTATTGGTTTTAGGCCGAAGCAGAAGACTAAATAGGTCTACACTGTCAAACTCAAAAGACAAATTATTTTAATGACAACAAAACTGAGAAACACTGATTGAAAGTGCTATTTGTTCTCTCCTGCACTGATCAGTGCAGATGCGTTTAAACTGAAAAGCAGATCAACATTGAGAGTGTCGGGTGTCTGGGAACTACTTCCCATTTTCTATGATGGACGTTACGCAAGCGACTTATAATCTCTGCTCATGCAAAGCATCAAGGAGCTACAACACCCAAGAACTTCAATACCGGTTTGATACCACTTGAAAACACTACACCAGCTCGGTATGCAGAGGACAGCAACACAGAAGCAGACAGTGAAGTCTGTGCTAGCATGCCATAGCCATAAAAAATAAGCAAAAACAACTATCAAAGTGGCACGCATAAATAAACACAAATGAAATTCACTGATTTGGATGACCAACTGCTTTCCGTTGATGTGGACGTTGGATTTTGTGGTAAATACCGCAGTCTACAAACTGTAATAATTTTGTAAAGTTCATGTTGTGCAAACTGTTTTAGTGACGCTTTTTTGGTTTTCAGGCCAGTGTTCCCTGAACTTCAGTTTAGGAAAAGGATTTCTTCATTTTGCTGCATCACTAATAAAAATATAATCATGCATATTATTTCACAAGGAGATTAAAACAAAATAATGAAAGACTTTTAAACAGAAGACAGCAGGACATGTGCACATAATAGAAATGCTCTTCTAATTTATTTAAAAATCGTGTCTACCTGCAGGTCGTTCTGAGGGTTCCAGTCGGAGTCAAAGATGATGCAGGTGTCGGCAGCAGTCAGATTGATACCCAGTCCACCGGCTCTCGTGCACAACAGAAAGACGAACCGATCAGAGTCTGGCTTACTGAAGCGATCTATGGCTGCCTGCCGAAGGTTCCCACGCACTCGCCCGTCTATCCGCTCATAGAGGTATCTGAAGACCACAAACACAAATCAGGAAATCGGTAGGGTGCAGTTTTAAACCAAAAACAGATTTTCAAAGCAGACTGCTTCATCTGTGACAGAGAAAATCACCCCGGTGGGCCTTTACTGCATCTGGCCAAGTGGAAGTAAAATCTCATGTTATAGAGAGAGGCACTGGTCCTTCACCTTTCACTCTTGCTTTTCTCTTTCCTTCCCTCATTCTCTCACTCTGTCATTCCATCACATTATACCTCTTTGCCCTGTCATTTCTCTTCTTTCCCCATCCTCTCTTTCTCTGACCTACTTCAGGCTGTTTAGCGCTCTAGGCTCTTTCAGTGTCTGATGTGAGCTCTCTAGGGGGTCTGTGCCCTTCTACTGAACCATGGCTAGACCTGCCAACAGCCCCCCTACACACAGACCACAGACTTGTTTTTACACCATCTCAGGACATGAGATCATACAATTGTTTCACATATGTACAGTACTGTGCATAAGCTAGACACTTTTGTTTGTTTAACTGCCAGTGAAAATGACTATTAAGTACAAGTTATTCATTTTTCAGAGTCAGAAAAAAGCAGGAAACATATTTAATAGAAATTTAAACAAAAGTTTCCTATACTAATTATAATATCAAATCTAATGAGCCTGCCATTCCATTTGTCCACTCTTTTGTGTACCTACTGCTATTCACACTATTCCATCCTTCCTTAAAAGAGAGTGGGCACACTAAATACAGAAAAAACTGATATTACATTAAGTTGTTGAGACTTCTGTTTAATTTTCTGTAAAAATGTATGTCTGCTTTTTTCCTATGGCTGAAGAACAAATAAATGAATGAAAAAGTCGTATCTGACTTTTGTGCAGAACTGTATAGATGACCACCTCTACATAAGATTTCAGGGTAGCCCTATTAGCCCTTTTTTCCTACAGAGTACAAAAGAAAAATGTACAAAAACAAACATATACAAATACGCACATATATAAATGCATGCACACACAGGTGTAGTTAAGCGCATACACGCGCACACACACACACGCACCCACACCATCATAACAACTCTGCATTCCAGGATCCAGTGCTTTCCTCATTACCCTTTTTTCATTTCAAAACAGCTTTCTAAGAGAATCAGCGGCTGTTCCTGAGACTGCATTTCTAAACAAATCCACCAGGAGGCACTTCACAGTTTTTATTATTGAGGTCATCATTAAATTAAAGCTGCTCCAGCAGCATGAGACGGCCACTCACCGTTTCTGGATGAGGTAGTCTTCCAGGATGTCGAGGCACCGCACCATCTGGGAGAAAATAAGGACTTTGTGTCCACCGGCCTTCATTTTGGGCAGCAGCTTGTCGATGAGGACCAGTTTGCCGGCAGACTGCACCATGGCCTGCAGGTGGAAGTCTGGGGCCGAGGGGCTGCACACCTCCCGGAAGTCCTCTAGGATTTTCTCTTCTGCCCCTGAGAGAGACACAGAGAGAAGTTGATGTGAGGCAACTTCGTGGTGTCTTAGTGTAACAGTATACCCATATTATCCTCTTACTCCAAATATAATTCACCCCAAATGTACTACATCAAAGTCTACTTTTATAGCTTTCCACTGGTGACTGAACAGGTAATGGAAGCTCATACCCCAAAAATTAGCACTGTGCAAGAAATGAATGCATGTCTAAATCGTCATACAGCTGCCTCAAACCTTGAATTGTTATCTTGTTTACACTTGCTTATGTGGTATGACACTGCATAACTTATAAAAACTGCCACATTATGAACAAAATTCAGTGTTCAAAATGCTGGCAACTGCTGTTTTTTAGCTATGAGACACATTTTGTCCGAAACATACTTCATACACCCAACGCATGACCAGCTAAATTGTATATATTTGATTTTTTTTCCCTGTTTAATATAATACAATTCCTATTTTTATCCAGTATTTATGCATGAGTACATTTTGGGGGTTACCTTTTATGAGGTAGGGGTGATTACAACATTTCCTCAACTCCATCATGGTGTTGACCAAGTTGGGGACATTAGCTTGACCGGCTCCCTTGGCCAGGAAGGAGAAGTTCTTCTCCAAGATGGCACGATAGTATTTCTTCTGGATGTTGGTGAGCTCCACTTCGATGATGGTCTCTTCTTTAGGAGCCAGTTTCTTCTCAACGTCCTCCTTTAGCCGACGAAGCATCATTGGTTTCAGAATTGCCTGCAGCTTTTGGACCTATAAGCACACACAAAACACTTCCATGTTAAACTCTGTACACTATAGTTGGCCCCTTTAACACTAGAACTCTTCTTCATTCAATCCTAAGACTATTCAGTTACTAGTACGAAATATTTGCTAACAACTACAAATCTGTAATGTAGTTATGAGTAAATGAAGTATGGACCCATTAGGCTTATCCATATCTATTATACCTCCAAACAATCATTCGATCAAATCAATCAATTATCATGCCCCACTCTCCCACAGACCCAACCAGACACAGTAATACACACACCTGCTCTTCAGTCTTCAGGTCCCCAAACTCCTGCATAAAGGTGTTTTCAGAGGGGAAGCGTGACGGCTCCAGGAAATGTAGCAGACTGAACAACTCCTCTACAGTATTCTGTAGTGGAGTGCCAGTCAACAACACTTTATGCTCCTAAAGATTAAAATGCAACAGGTCAGCAATGGTGGATATGAGAAACAGACAGAAACCAAAAGGTTTCTCTTAAAAAAAAACAAAAAAAACAAAACAAAACAAAAAAAAATCCCACAGCAAAACTAGCTAAAAAAAAAAAAAATAAAGGAATGGCATAGTCAATACCGCTCAGTATCATGTCACTGAATACGTGTTTGTGTTCTTTTCTGTACCAGGCTCATTAGCTTGAAGCCCTCCAGCAGCTTGCAGTTTTTGTTTTTCAGGCGATGAGCTTCGTCAATGATCACACAGCGCCAGTCGATGGCATTGAGTTCCGGACAGCCTCCCAAAATCATCTCAAACGTGGTGATAACTGCCTGAAACCGGTATGCCCCTCTCACAACACGACCCTGGAAGAAGGGCAGAGAAAGAAACAGTCAAATTAGTTTTGACTGCGCTCCACATTAGATCTACAACAACCCCTTCTTCTAACTGATTAGCCTATTGGCTATTAATCAAGTGACTGACTGAGCTACTGTTTTTTTTTTTGTTCCTTTCCCTTTGCCAGTGGGATGATTCAAATTTCCATTTGTGTGATTTCTTTTATGATGCAACAACAAAATAGAAACAATATTACTCCTAAGGTTTCCTGTAGCGCACTATAATCAGACAGCATTATCACATACATCATATAAACAGTGAAGAGCATTACAAAACTTGAACAATATACATGGACAATACAAACTCATGTTGACATTTTCTCCTAATCAAAGTCATCGCACATTTTGTCTAATCGCTGCAGACCTAACTCAATACTACAGCATGCTAGTGTCTACTTATGAAAAAGCCATGAAGGCGTGAGAGAGGACCAAATGAAATGCATACTCCTGACTTTTTAACTGATGGGCCTCTGTAGTCTCCTTTTGAAAGCGTGTGATTTTTTATGTGCGTGTGTGTAAGCATTTTGTTACCATCAAGGCTAAGCCTCAGGCAACAAGCTGGCACAGCACCATTCAAATCCCCCTGAGCATGCACTTCAACCCAAAGACCTCTTTTCTTCACCTGTCTGCAAATCTCACCTGTCACACAACCAATGCTGAACTCTGCCTTCCCCAATGAGAACTCACTCTCTCTTTGTATTTATGGGGATAAAAGAAACAGAGATGACATACCCCAGTAAGCTGTCTTCTTTCGTGCTTTGCTGAATGTACTGCATTTAACAGCTACTAGCACACACACAGAATTTTGTAATTTTGTGTGCATAGTTTGAATGTAGGGCTCATTCAATTAATCGAGAAATCTAATTTGCAGATTAAGTGACCAATCAATAACGTGTGTTGAAAGCTTGGGTGCTTTGTATGCTTTAAATGTTCATACATCACTGATGTGCTGAATGCCATCTCACTTTGCATATACTGCACTGCGCCACATTATTACTTTGTGGCTAAAAAACTCCCACACTTTGGACACTCTGGGTGTTCTGACTCTTGGCCTATAAACATCGCACTTGTAACTTTGGTGTTACTTGAAAGTACTGCTGTTGCACCGAATACCAGCAACTGGAGTCTCCACATGCTCCTTTACACAGTTATGTAATCAGTATTCAAAGTTTTGTGTTACAAACTCTTCTTTTATGGTGCAACGAAACAGAAGGCACATTGCTTCCTGCAGTGTACTGCAATCTTCTACAATAACCATGTGGATCACATGAACATCACAGAACATTAAAACAATAGTTTGGCAAAAATTTACACAATTTCCCACTTACCCATGAGATAGTACACAAGCCAAATTTTGCTTCTTTAGTTTTGACCTGGAGCTATGAGGATAACATTGCTAGCAAACGTGTATTTATGTGGATTTCTGTTCCCCAACAATACCTACTTTTTATAAATTAACAGTGGCTTATTGTTCTGGAATGTCATGACTTTTAATAAGAGCAATATTTAATAGCTAAAATAAATTCATTTTTATTATGCAAAACAGAAAAACAATATTTTCCTTGTAAGGTTCTTCTTCGACAACAAAGTGGACTAACTTACTTCAGACTACAACTCACTACTGGGATGTGAGAAACCTAGCATGTTTTGCATGTTGTGTTATCTGCCCTTATTTTTGGCATACTGGCATAACAGTAATGACAAAACATGTACCTTAAGAAGAATTTCAAGTGGTATACCAGATGAACTGGTGTGACACTATGAGAACTACACTATTACATGAGGAGAATTACATTTTCAACAAGAGCATTGTGCCAAATTTCACATAACGCAGGTATATGAATGCAACAGACGAAGCTTGCCATATCTGCTACGATTTACTTTCATAAATTAATCTTGAACTTTTGAACTGAAAATATGCTTAAAAAGAAAAACAACAAAAATCTCAAATAACCTATCTTTACCTGTGTGATGTGCATGGGTGCACTGGAAAGGGAGGCAGAATTTGGCCTAACATCTATTGTATAAAATCGATACCGACAGTAATTAGCTTTGTTCAGTTTTGATCTTATAGTTTTGAGGCTGTATTTAAACAATACTTGGGTGACTGATGACCTATATTGTTTGTTAGCAATGTTAGCTTCACAGTTCCAGCAGTAACATAACAAAATTTGGACAAACTGAGTACAACTGGAGTAAGCGGTGTAAATTAAATTGTACAAATTAGATTTTTTGGCAAACCATTCATGAAAGTAAATAGCTAGACAATAAAAATCTACATGAGCACTATATCCATGACTTGTCTAATGACAGCTGCAGCTCTAGATGTGTCTGAATGCTTTCTAACCTGAGCATCCCTGAAGTACATCTCGTACTGCTGCAGCATCTGGCGGCTGAGCACGCTGCCGTGGTAAACGATGACGTTGAGGTGTGTCCATGTACGAAACTCTCGTTCCCAGTTGGTGATGGTGGAGAGCGGGGCAATGATGAGAAAGGGTCCCCTTATCCCTGTGCGGTGGATCTCCTCCAGAAACGTAATGGACTGGATGGTTTTTCCCAAACCCATCTCATCGGCCAAGATACAGTTACGCCTGCAGAAAAGAGAAAGCCTATCATTACACCATTCAGCAGCAAAACAGGAAGAACTGCAGTATTTTGATAACACTGAAAGTTATTAACTATAATCCAAAGCCTGCAGCCACGACAGTAAGCTCTCAAAGAGAAATCCTGAGCTTGTATATACAGAGATTTGTTTTTACATTCCTGAACTGATGCACTGAATTTATTTTGCTTTTCAAGAAAACTAATACACTCAGCAGCTTTACAGAGATGAGCAATAGTGTGAAATTAGATTGTGTCTGTGTGTTTAAGTGTTTCTATGCTTCTGTGAGAAGTGTGTCTGCCCCTGTGAAAGGAGACAGGTGTGTGTGTGTGTGTGTGTGTGTGTGTGTGTGTGTGTGTGTGTGTGTGTGTGTGTGCTTCCGCAAAATGAGACGGGCTCCTTGTGTGTGTGTGTGTATATGGCTGGCATGTGGGCTCAGACATGCCGTCAGCTGCACGCCTCACTGGCTCCTCTTCCGCACTACTTAACAATCTGGCGCCTGGATCCACATCTATCCCCCTTGTGTGAAAAACCTCTCCCGTGCCCTGCCCTGACACACACCCCCACACTCTCTCACTGTCACATGAACATGAACGCTTTTTCTCTCTTTTTGTCATCACTTACTCACATACACGCACTAGAGATGAGTCCGAATTTTTAAACATTCAAATAGCAGGGCTCCACACTAAATCTTTTTCAGAACTATCCCAGAACTGTTTTTTAAAGTAAGTTAAAACTGACCGCCCAAAATATCAATCTGCTTTGTTAACATTACACCTCTCTTACGAATTTTTGTATTACCATATTGTGGATTCCCACAGATCCAACATGCATTGTATTGGGCATCACAAATTCCTAGTAAACAGTAATTACTAGCAATTATTAACCTTCTATTTCTCTTTGTTCCTGATTGCTTTTGGAATAAAAACAGAGCAAGGATCATGCTTTTGTGCCCTGTAACATAATCTGGGTCTGAAGTGGTTAAATTCTTGTGTGTATCATTGGTTAATCACTACACTAACATATCTGTCAAGATTACACAAAGACTTGTAAAAAAAAAAAAAACATGAAAAGTAAAGATTATTATGTAGGTTAACGTATGTTAAAGGGTTAGGTGTTCAAGGCAGAGCATGCTAAAAACAGACAGTATCACTCATTTAATTGTACTCGGCCTTGTAAAAATTCATCAATACCCGCTGATATGATGTGACGTAAGCCAAGTGTACAGTGCTGCGCTAATGAACAAACGACTCAAGCCGGCAGTGAAGGAGGTCTGCTTACACAGAAGTGTTAGTGACTGTGTGACAGTCGGACACGAAGTTGCTGGTCACTTTAAATTTTCTGCCGTGGCATATTCCCACCAAACCTATAATGTGAGATTTTAGCCCCTTTTAAAACACACAATCACAACTGCTTCCCCAATACAGGTGGAGATGCGTAAAAAATATAAGCAAGAGTTGACACTTCCTACCAAAGTCCGTATATGCCAACTTTACTCTGTTCGACTGAATCGAATAGCGAGGTATACATGTTATTACAGAGATTTTTTTTTTAATAAAATAAGCCATAGGGAGACTGTACTGTCCTACCATATACATCATCACCTGGCTTTTAGCTTCTGTGCACAGTGTTAGCAGCCCTGCACCATTTCTCTTTGCTCAGTATTTGGAGCGCAGCATGTTTTGAATGAAGCAGGTTTATTTGAAATTGTTCACAAACAGAGCGTTTCATGAAGCATGGGTCAAGCGTTTTTGCACAGTGTGAACATATAAATCGTAGGCTTTGTCCATATGTGACGGTCTACTCAAAAGCACGACGAGACTCAAGAGAACAAGATTTCTAAAATCACCCTGTGTAATGTCTGGATTTAGAGGACATACAGCTCAACCAGCTGAACGAAATACTTCAGACGTAAAACTCTCTAAGTGAGCTCCTTAGATGCTTAAGCCTCGGACTTGATTCCTGCTGTAAATGTACTACAGAGACCATTGTTTAAACCCACTCTTCTCCACTGCAGTGCTATCAATCAAAGGTAACTAATGTAGTATAGCTAGCTAAAGCATGTCATTTAAAATAAGCAAGATTTTAATGATTTACTGTTAAGGTACGTTGCACTATTAACTGTAAGTAGGTTACTAAGTATAGTACCAGATGTGTTATCCGCGAGTACTAAAAATTTGTGTCTGAAAAAAAACAATGCATCCCTGACAAGGATACTAATGTTAGCTGAGGTGCAAAACAGACGATTTGCATTTGTCTGTGCATCTTAAAGCCTTTCAATTGACACCTTCCTCTGTGTAAATTTCAAGCCACATGTTACCTGTTGTGGATTTGTGGTTTGGGTCTGATTTAGTATTTAATAGCAACATGCTGAGTGGCATCACTGTCCCTGGTGGAGTCTGGTAGCCTGTAGTCTTACAGGTCTTTTACTTTATCAAATTTGACCCAAATACCCCTCCCTAATATGTACACAAATGCACAGGATTGTGTCCTTCCATCTGACTACCAGCAAACCAAAAAGTCTCAGCAAAAGTACAGCAGTTTGTCATGAACTTCAGTGTCATTACGGTTTTCCCTGAGCTGTCGTGCAGAAACAAAACAATTCAAAGGTAAGAAACAATTCGACTTATCCAAATTTGTTGCTTAGAATATAGCCACTTTCTGGAAGCATGAGCACTGGGTTTCTGCATAACTAAACACTACAAAAGATAGCATAATTTCCAGCTCAGTATCATGAAAAACTTTTATCCATCAACACTCTACAGTACACTCCTTGTTTTTCTCCACTCCGCACACTGCTTTAGCTGCAAAATAACCCTCCCATTACATCCAGTGGGAGCCTGTGAAAAAACAAAAGGTTTGGCTAAATCAAACTAAAAATTACACATACAATGAGTAAAGCCCTGCACCGGAACACTGTGAAAAAGATACTTTTAAGACAGGTAACCGCACATCTACATCCTGAATATAATCCTCACTCTTATGTAGGGAAATACATAATTATGAGCTAGAATTGTTTCTTTTCTAAAAAGAAACTCACAGCACAGCCTACTAAGCTTTGCTGTTTGCACATTGATTAGTTCAAGACATTACTGTCATAAAAGGCTTCGTGGTTGCCATCTGAAGCTTATGCAACTAAGTTTGAATACATTCCATGCAAATTAATTAAGCAGTTAGTATGTGGTATTTTAGAAGACAAATCAATGAATTCCATGAGTATATAAATTAGTAAGTAAATGTTTCATTTATATAGTGCTTTTAAAATCAACTTTGGTGTTTCACCAAAGGAGTGGCTAAACTAAGAGTATAAGCATACCAAAAAAAGCAGGGAGACAAACAGAAAAAGTACTGCATTCTGACTTGCAAACTTGTTTATTTACAGGGGATGGTAAATATGTTCTATACTGGCCCAAGGCTCACAAACAAAAGTTCGATACTGCACACTGTAGTGGGCCTGAATTAGGATGTGCATTCCGACTAATTTTGATATTTGAATATGTGGATATTAGGGGTGGGAATCTTTAGGCACCTCACGATTCTATGAAGATTCAGAGGGCTGCGATGCGAATATAAAACGATTATCGATGCATCTCGATGCAACTTTTTTCTCTATACAGGATTGTTATCTTCCTACTGTCTGAGGACTTGGTAGTTTTAAAGCAAAGTCATTTTTGGGGGTTTTCGAGACTGGACGCTGAATCTCGGCTCCAAAGTGTGCAGCATAGCGCGAAAGCCCTGGTTCTCACGACTGAGAACAGACAGCAGACAGCAGGTCACACAGCACCGACGTCTGGCCTCGCTAGCAGCGAATGAAAAAAACAGAGATTAAGACGAACATTTGCATTTGGAGGACTTATTCGCATTTATAAGCAGTGCGGTTGGTTAAATCTGCAACGAGAGTTAAAAAAAGCTGCGAAAATGAACTCGCTTCTCTTTCGAATTTTCCCGTTCCACCTTAAATGGTGCAGCAGTTACATTCAGCGCCTAAGGCAGAATTTAAGGTGAAACGGGAAAATTAGAACGAGAAGCTGGTGGATGAGAAGCGACCTCAGCTTCGTAAAACAGCCAGATGCTGAGACATTTTACAAAAAACTCTTCTAGTTTTGAAGAAAAGTTTTCTGGCGGTGATGGGAGGAAAGCAGCTATAGCTGAAGCTTAAAGTAGAGCAAAGTAAATCTGCGCTCTCGTTTATATTTTTAGCCCATACTACGACATTAACACATACTGGACATTAAATGTTGCGGCTCCCAAGGTGGTTTGACTTTGTTGAAAGGATAAAATGGCTCTTATTAACATTTGCATTGTCACTCCTGATCTGACCTGGCTTTAACGCAGAGGGAGCCGGTCGGATTTCTCGCTCAACCACTTGTGTTTTTGTTATGTGCCGCCACAGACTGTCCGGGCGCTGCACTTACCCGCTTCCAAATTCCGCCTTTTGCGTTCAGTCAACGTTACGTTATAAATTAAATATTTAGCAAATCGATTTTTGACATTTGTGAATCGATTCAGAATCGTTCACGTCCGCATCGTGATGCATCTAAGAATCGAGTTTTTCCTGCACCCCTAGTGGATATGCAGATAAACACAGGTAAGGGAAAATCAGCAGCCAAAAGCAGCAAGCAGAAGAAAACATTTGACGTTTTACTATACAAAAAAGCTGAGGAAAATCCATAGCTTTAGTGTTGAATGATTAACTGAAGAGGCGTGCTAAAACTACAGCCAACTGGTTCAACACTGGATGCAGAGGATTCACCTTTGTACACAAGGTATTTCTCCTCAGTGGAATACGTGCCAACATGCTAGTTTGCCAAATAAATATGGTTCCACTGTTTCTGGACCTAGCTAACATCAGCTAGAATTTTTAGTCTAGTTAGCAATAAAACTATAGTACATCTGCCTTCTCAAATCACGTCATTAACAACACATCCTTGGCAACACGCTCACGCTCAGGTACTCATGTCTCAGAGTGGCACAGTGTAATACACATACTTACTCATGGATGCAAGCAAAATTGTAACATTTTACGTTTAAAACCTAAGAGCAAACAGCATTTGATTAAACTGTTTGACTCTATATTTTCTCTTTGTCTTTCTTTGATAACAGAATGTGACCCGAATAATAATTATAGTATAAAAATACTGGCACCTCAAAGTGTATACCTAGTACTTGGGTTCCCGTGCAGAGCCCTAGAATGAACTTGCTGCTGCTCCAGAAGCGAAAACAGGACATACCAATTGAAGTAGAAACCAAATATCTGTAGGTTTCCTTACACAATACAGCAGCATGGCAATCTGACAATCTTTTTGGTATAAAATACACAAACAATTATCTCAAATTCTGAACAGCTCGCCAACAAAATCAACTAGTAATCCTTTCAAAAAAAAGGAGCTTACACCACAAACCTGGGGCTTTAAGCAAGGTTGAAACGCTGTTGTCACACTAATAGATAGCAAAGAGACTTGGGAAGACCCACTTCTACAACCAATTGAACCAGCAACATAAAAAAAACAAGCACACAGAGAGACAAGGCACAACAAAAGGGACTGAGTATACTACAATGATATCAAACTGACCTGTTGTACCAGTTGAAGAGCAACCAGTTGACCCCCTCTAGCTGGTAATCCCTGAGACTGTTATCATTACGATACTCCCTCGAATGCTCAAGCTTCTTCCAGTGACTCGCTGGGGGGCGCTCCTGGAAAAAGAGAGAGGGGGAAGTGTTAAGGCTGGTTCTGATGTAATTCTGCAAACAGTTACATATGCACATAATAATGCTGTTGAAACAGTCGAAAGATTATTATTAAAAACTGTGATAAAATAACAGTTCTACAAAAAACTCAGAGCAAAGGAGGAGAAGCAGAAAGCAGGAGAGAGAAAAAGATGTCCTTACTATTCTCCTGGAGTCTGGTCTCGCTGCCTGCAGCTGCTCGAACTCCTCAATCTTACTCTGATCCACATCCTCCTTTAGCTCCCATGTGCTGTCCTCATATGGCAATGAACACCACTTCACCAGGTAATACACCACTGGCTATAATACACACACACACACACACATACATACATACACACACACACACGTTAACAAAAATCTTTACCTCATTCAACAATGCAAAACAATGCCTCACATTCCCTGAAAAAACTGCTCCAAGAAATACAGGCTAATAATTCCAACAAATCCGTGTTCTTGAGTGCTCAATTCAAAGCATGTGCTGGCTCAGCACAGATAAAACTAGCTCCCTGCTGAATTATGCTTCCAAATGAAAAGCAACTAGCAAAAACACAAGTTCATATTATGTCATAGCCCTGAAGAAATAATAGGCTATTTTGAGACATGAGAATGGAGAGTCTAAATTACTTGAATATTTCAAAATATTCATGGCAGAAAAAAGGTTTCAGATGAAGCCTTCTGAGCTCACACACTGCTACTGTTCCAAGGATGTAGAGGGTGTTTAATTTTAAGCTACTGTGACTCATTATCAGGTTAAAGGGGAATTCAACCATTTTTTTTTCAAATACAGTTGTATTAATGTTGTAACAGAGTTGTAATGTAATACAGTTGTTTGATGTGAAATGCGCCATACTACAGAACCTTACTTCATTAAAGGGCTACGAATTCCCTGCTTGATGACAGACATTGCTTTATGTTAGTTTTGGCCAAAGCTTAAGACCTGAAACGCGTTTTTCTTTATTTATACAGCTGTTTTAAAGCAAAAGAATTCCCAACTAAACTTTTTCCCCCCTCCATATGTACTACTATTTTCCCCATCATCAATATTACATTAACAAAAATCAAAAGACACATGAAGGTTTCGCTTATCGTTTTGGTTAATAAATAAAATGGCTTACACGGTGTTGTAGACACTGTGACCAGGTTCCTATCACCACCACTGTAAAGAAATCGGATGCCAAGTTTCTCTACATTTAACTATTTTACATTAAAACATGCTGAACAGCTTTATTTACATTTCAATAACTCAAACTTTAAAAGATCAGTATAATTTCCTTTTAAAATAAGAAAAAAAAAGTAAATTTGATATATGTGCTAATGTAATCCGCCGCATCCAGCCAGCGAAGTAACCAGAGAGCTTTGCGTTTCATTATTTAGATGACATTCATTTAGATTTACAAAACAAATATTTTAGAAATACTAATAAAAAACGAATAAAATACTTTTGTATTGTATATTAAATGATCATAACTGATCGAATCATCTGTAACTTTCCATTTCGTTTCACTATCACACACTAGGAATGTTAACTGTTTAACGAATGATAACAGTTAAAGCAACAAAAATCAAAAAGCTAATTTCATTTCATTTTCAATACACAACAACAGTTCATATGCAGTTCTGTATGCACGAGGGTCCTATAGAAGATTGCTAAAAATGAAGTGCACAGATTAAAAAAATAAATAAATAAATAAATAAATAAATACACAGTGGTGTTTGGGATCACTTTTTAAGAAGACGACAGCATAACTACATATCACGTTGGAAGCAAACATCCGCAGACCACTACATTGTCCATTTTCTCCGAAAGAAAATATAGTTCATGGCAGTATGATGAAATCAAACATGAGTGTGCAAAATTTTAGAGAAGGATGTGGTAGACTGCGACGGCTTTGGAGAGCTACTGAGGTACACTGACCCAAAGCTAGCTGTGGTCAGGGCATTTATGTTTGCTTTAACTGGGCCTTGTAATAAGGGATAAAAAAAAAAAAATTAAAAATAAAAAACTTTCAATGGCACATCATTTATTTCAGCAATTTCATCATAGTTTATCATATAATCATGAACCTATTACAGTTATCAGCCACTTGGTTAAAACAAAACCAGGCTCTCGTTTATGGTATGTTTAAGATGCTTTCAGCCTGTTTACTTCATACACATGCTTAAGCCCGGCCCAACCTATCAGCACTACATTCCACAGCCCACACAAGGAACACTTTATAATATCTCAGAGCATTAATACAGAATTCATGCTTATAATTGTTTGTAAATGAAGTTTTTAAACAATGGCTTCTAAAGCGTCTCAGCCAATCAGCTTTTAGATCAAGATGCTTCTGTTTTTTAACTGATATTCTGATGGGTCGCATCCTTAACAACCTTGATTTTAAGCTTGCTGGTTTTGCTTGCTGATGATGGTCGGATAATAAAAAAACAAAAACAAACAAACAAACAAAAAATAAATAAATAACAACCTCTCCAGTGTCCTTGTCCTCACAGTAGGAAACCTCCAGGACTCTGTCCACTTCCACATAGTCAGGATTAAAGGGATCCTCCTCCATCTACAACACAAGCACACTGAATCAATATAAAGTACTACGAGGGGTAGACAAATGTCAAAATCTGTCAATAAATCAGGTGGCCAAAATGAAGAATTCATGTCCAGAATTATAGAAACATGCTTATCTAATATACGTACACTGAATTCATAATACGTATGTGTGTGTGTGTGTGTGTGTGTGTGTGTGTGTGTGTGTGTGTGTGTGTGTGTGAGAGAGAGAGAGAGAGTTCAACTTGTCTTGAGGTTTATTAAGATGATAAAGGACACCTGTTGGCCACCATTATAAGATATACTAAAACTAATATATATGAAAATCGTAAACTATTAATAATAACTTATTAATTACTTATAATAAATAAATAACTTAATAAATTAGAATTATACACAAAAAAGGCCATTTACAAATTTTCAGTGTAAAGGTGGGAGCAACCCACACACACTACGTTCTTACATCAGCAAAGAAGTGTGCTCTCTGGGCCTGTTTGATCTTGAAGCGTTTGATTTTCTGCTGGATCCTCTTGTCCTTCACCAGCTGCTGCTCTGTAGCCCACTCACAATGCAGATAAGAGCTAAACACACACACACGCACGCACGCACAACACACAGTTAGACAAACAATAAAAAAATGATTTGCATTCTCCTGCGTAAATACACCCACTCACAGTCAACAGCTTTCTGATCTTGACTTATTCATTAGCTGTATGAGAGGCTTTTCCTTTGTATACCTAACACATACAGCTCACACAACATTAACATTACACACTAACAGGCTGAATTTGCTTTAATCAGGAATAGTTCACTAGGCTCAAGCACATCCAAGTTAGTATCTAAGATTTTGAACAAGGCAGGACATCTATATGTCAACGCAACTGGAAACAAGCAACAGCCATTTTTTTTTATTTTTTGAAGAATCTCAACACAATGTTATAGATTCACCAGAGAGGAATATTTAATTATCATAAAAACTGAAATCATGAAAAATATGGGAAAAAAAAGCTGCCTTACTAGTTCTTGTATTTTACAAAGAACTCCTCCACTTCAACAACCACCCCTGGTGAGACCTGTTGAACAATAAACATGATTAGTTTACATCTACATTCACTATTACATTTATCTTTAAGATATAACATTACTGTTGTTATGATGACTGTTATGTTATTATATGCTCCTGTCATCTACTCCCTTTTTCTTTTCCTTTTAAACAAAGCATGGACAAGGTAAAATCATCATTTTAACATACACTGAACAGCACAAGTAAGGTGTTACCTCATTCTTCACTATGCGAGAGGCCATTATCTTATCCACTACCGCGGCATCCTCTTCACTGGGATTCTCCTAAGAACACAAAAACACTAAATAGTAGAAAACAAGCCAAAACATTTAAGTGTTACTGCATTTACTCAGCTGTCTTACTGTCTTAAGTGAATGTTGTCACTACCATGGTCATGGGAGTCTATAGTCAATATCGCCACATAAAATCAAATGGTTTTTTCTGTGGTAAGGTAGGATAGTAACGTTACATATCAACTTGATTTTAGCCACAGAGAACACAAGTAAACGCTCCTTTGTGTGCCTTCATACTTTGCAAACTTTTCTACAGAAAAATGACAGCATTTTTACCGACATGGCAATTTACACGGGATTAATATAACCCAAGGTTACTCCTATGGCTTGTTTTAGAGTAGCTAAAAGGTGCCAGAAACTTGACTGAAACAGGAAAACGCAGATGGCAAAAATAACTGGCATGGCGCATTTGGACAGGATTAAAATCATAGAGAAACACTGGTGAAAATTACATTATCCTACCTCCTCATGTAAAACTAATCCTGTCTGAACAGGGCTTTAGTCATTTTAGTTGAAGTACAGAGGGACACTTTTCTTATTACCATTACTCTCCTCTCTCAAAGATGACACTTCTTTTAGTTTTTAAATTGTGGTTATTTTAGTTTCCTCTTTTCAGTCTAGTTTCAATAGGTCAAACAACAATAACAGAGCCACAAACAGGAAAAAACGCTTATTAAAACAAAACACGAATGTAGATCTCTGATTTTAAGCCTATACAATCAAAACATACAGTGAAAAGGTCTTAACATGTACTTCAAGCTCTCCTCACCATCATATGCTTATAAATATATGCACTTCTAGCAAAAAAAGGACTCCAGAGTACCAAAAAAGGGCATTGACACACACCTGTCTAGAACCCGTTAACACAGTCAGTGTGTTCTTACCACAAACAACTGGACAGCTGGCTCACTGGAGTTGATCTTCTTGGCTTTAACAATGACCTTCATCTCTTCGTCAGACACTCGAGAGTCTTGTTCCTCCGCATATCTCTTCCTTTTTACCTGTCTGTTAGATCGCCGCTTCTACATAAAGACACAACATTGAGAAAAACATGGTCAATATGTGTGTGTGTGTGTGTTTGTGTGTGGTTGGGTGGGGGCGTCATTTAAATTTGTATTAGAACCAGCTGCAGAGCAAGCGTGCACATATGAGCAAATAAATGAGTGAGAGTGAACAAGCAACAAGTGTGTGTGTGTGCGGGCCCGCACACGTGTACCCAAATATATCATGACCTAAATGTCAGAGAGTTAGAGCTAATGAAGAGGGAGACGATGAGAATATCTCAGGATGACCAATTAAAGAACCCCAACACTGTCACCATCATGCCACAATGTTTCCCAGAATGCTTCAGTGCCACAGGGCCACCTCTTTATCTCTGACAGGCTAACTGAGTCATCAGCAGCATACTGCCTTAATTAACACACAGGGCTTTTAACGAGGATAATTATATCTGGGGAGAGAGCTTGGGGTGGAGGAGGGGTGGGCAAAGTATCGGCCCCCATTCTTTAGTGCACTCTCTCTTCCCGTCACTACTGCCATGAGTGAGAGACAAACAAATCTGCTCACCGAGTCATCATCTCTGGATGATCGTCGAGGCGGAGGTTCTTCTTCAGACAGGTCATCAGAAGATTCAGTCTTACGCTTCTTCTTCTTCCCAAACTTGATTACGATTTTCCTGAGCAAACAAATATTAAAGACACATTCATCCTCATGTCCACTGTGTACAGACATTATGGTACATGTGATTAATAAGAGCTGAAATAGCAATTTCCCCATCTCCTTGTTTAATCCCCTTTAAGCAGTAGTTCAGCGAAAAAATCTAATTTGAAAAATCTAAATTTCCCCCTTACCCCAAAGTAGCTGATCAGCCAAGACATGTTTGGTGTCTGAATTTTGTTTCTTCAGTTATGACCTGCAGCTATAAGGCTAATGTAGCTAACAAGTAATGGAAGCCTATACCTCTCCAATTAGCACTGCACAAATTGAATGCCTAATCATGTCAAATTGTTAAGTAATGTCAAATACACTTGCTTACAAGGTTTCTGACACTGTGTGACACACCGCCATTTGCAAAACAAAAAAGGTACAGACAAAACTAAGGTGGCTACTACTGGTGTGGTATAAGCTTCTATTACTTGTAAGCTACATTAGCCTTGTAGCTCCAGTTCATAAAAAGGAGGACACCGCAGAGGAAGCAGGTAAAACTCGAGAAAAACTATTACTTTAATTGTAAAGGCATTGTAAACTGTAAAAGTTTCTCTATGTGAGCCCAAACTTCAGTCACTCAACTGACAACTACAAAACATGCAGAATATTTTTCATAGTAGTCACAGAATCATTTCAGCAGTAGGTGAATAACAAGTCTTAAAACCAATATCTAAACAGCAAGTATGCACTGAAATTTCAGCCACTGGAAATCTTCGGAAATCTTGAACTGAAAATTTTGACCATTTTAAGTTAAAGGAGAAAAAACAACTAAAAATATGGATCAAAACAGATCAAATAGACATACAATGAAGCATCAAAATCTAACAGTTTACAAATAATTTTAATGGTAATGAAAATTAAGAAACAGTTATTAAAAACACTTAATTTCCTTCACTTTCCTGCGGCCATCAGCATAGACGGTTCAGCGGTTTAAGCAGCAGCAAATCAACAGTAAAACAGTGTGGAACTATTTCACAGTTTCTACAAAGGAACATCAGACATCTGTTTTGCAAAGAGGGAATATATGACACCCAAGAAGCTCTCCACTACAGGTCTGAGACCACCTGAAAACACAAACACCCTGCTTAATATGTACAGGAAAGCAACAGAAGCAGAAAAGAAACTCCCCACTAGCCTCAGTTTTTGAAAGAAAAGAAAAGGAAAAAGAAAAGAAAAAGAAAAAGACAAAAAACAGTGTGAAGGTGAAAAGTATAACTAAAACAAAATGGAATTCACTGCCCTGGATGTCCAACCACTCTCTGTTGTTGAAAATGCTGGATTTTGTAGGCACGTACTGTAGCCTACATAGCAATGATTTCAGTAAGTTTTTTTTTATGTAAACTGTTCTGCATTTCTTGTCACCTTTTGTGTTAATGCCTCCTGAATTTCATCATCAGTTTCAGTCTAGGATTTTCATTTCAGTACATCACTACCAAAGAGTAAGCAGTCACTTAAAAGCTAAATATGATTCTTCACAAAAGGGCCTACACATTTACAAATACAGTAGATCAGCGTAACTCAGAATGTCATATACAAAAAACGGTGCACACACACACACACAAACACACACACACACACACACACTTTTCCTCTTGGTCTGAGGTCTTCATTTCACCATGAGTCCATGGCAGTCCCTCCCTCAGTGCTGCAAGCGTGACCCAAGTTTGGAAAGCTCAAAACGCCAGATGATGCAAGACAGTGTGAAATAATAGAAGGTGTCTCTTTTTTTCCCATTCTTATACTTTCACCATCAATGAGTCAACAGGCAGTGTGTTACTACTGGTTAGTATCACTACCTCAGGGCCAGGCATTTTTAGCTTCTTCCTACATCACTGAACTACTCTCCATTAAAGCCTATACACACTCATGGTGAAGCTGAAGGTCAGCTAGTTCTCTGCTACCTCCAAGGAAAGAGACAACAGCTTCAAAAAGATGATTTCTTTCCATTGGTCAGCACAAGTAAGGCCTGCTAACTATGCAACAACAAGCTAGGTCTAGCGTTATTGATTTCCAGTGGCTGTATTTAGCCAGGATTGTAAGCAGCAACAGGTCAGCACCTGAACTAGTTATATATATATATATATATATATATATAAAACTAGTTCAGGTGCTGACCTGTTGCTGCTTACAATCCTATAAATATATATATATATATATATATATATATATATATATATATATATATATATATATATATATATATATATATACACACACACACATACACACACACACACACACACACACTAGGGGTGCGGGAAAAACTCGATTCTTAGATGCATCACGATGTGGACGTGAATGATTCTGAATCGATTCATAAATGTCAAAAATCGATTTTCTAAAAATATAAACGAGAGCGCAGATTTACTTTGCTCTACTTTAAGCTTTAGCTATAGCTGCTTTCCTCCCATCTCCGCCAGAAAACTTTTCTTCAAAACTAGAAGAGTTTCTTGTAAAACGTCTCAGCATCCGGCTGTTTTACGAGGCTGAAGTCGCTTCTCATTTGCTTCTCGTTCTAATTTTCCCGTTCCACCTTAAATTCTGCCTTAGGCGCCGAAAGTAACTGCTGCACCATTTAAGGTGGAACGGGAAAATTCGAAAGAGAAGCGAGTTAATTTTCGCAACTTTTTAGAGAAAGGCAGTCTCTCATTGCAGATTTAACCAACAGCGCTGCTTATAAATGCGAATAAGTCCTCCAAATGTTCGTCTTAATCTCTGTTTTTTCGTTCACTACTGGCGAGGCCAGACTTTGGTGCTATGTGACCTGCTGTCTGCTCTCAGTCGTTGAGAACCAGGGCTTTCGCGCTATGCTGCACAGTTTGGAGCCGAGATTCAGCGTCCAGTCTCAAAAACGGAAATATGGATCATTACAAAGTATTTGTGATGATCCATAATGCATTTACAAATACTTTGCTTTAAAACTACCAAGTCCTCAGACAGTAGGAAGATAACAATCCTGTATAGAGAAAAAAATGGCATCGACATGCATCAATAATCGTTTTATAATCGCATCGCAGCCCTCTGAATCATAATCGAATCGAATCGTGAGGTGCCTAAAGATTCCCACCCCTAATATACACACACTATAGCGTCTGCTTGTCTCTTTCTTTGTTCTTGGCGGCTATTTGTTGTCAGTGTTCTTCATTAGATATTCAATTTTCATGCATCCACACTGAGAGACATGAGCCAGCAACGCAAAGGTGCTGATTTCCTGCTCAGTGCCCACGATCACAAGCACAACACTCGCAACACACAGATAAACTCATATAATATAAAAATCTGCTGCAATACTGAACTTAAAACATTTTCAGCAAATAATGTGGAATTTTGCCAATTTATGCAGGAGTATTTCTTATAATTTCTTATCACCACTTAAGCTAATAATTTCCTGCGTGAAATGTGAAACATAATTGTAAGGATGCATAACAGCACAAATTCAGCAGTTACAGCAAGCATGAATGCCCTGCATCTGAGAAGCACCTGCTCAACTTCTAAGCTTTTTGAGGTGCGAATTTGTTACAAGCATAAACTGTTTATCAGCACTTCAATGAAGAAACTCAGGGCTGACAAGTGATGACCTTTTTTGCAGTGACACATCTGCATTCCTACTGGTGTGCTTTGAAAATGGAAAGTTGTGCTGATGGAGAATGAAAGCACAGCATATAATCAAGCTACTCCATGAACTACATGAAAATTGATATTAAAAATTCATTTTTGGCAGTCATGTGAGCTCTACTCAGAGGAAGGTAAAAGCAAGTTGCCTAGACTGAAACAACAGAGCTGAACGATACTGGGCAAAACGTAGGTGATTTTAGGTTTTTGTCATGAAACAAAAAATGATAAAATTTACCCAGAGAAAGTATTCTCAAATTGAGCCAATTATCACTTTAGCAATGGAAAGAAGGGTGCTGCTGAAGGAGGTAATTCAATATTCTGTTTAGGGCTACGTTGTAAAGATGAAACACCATTTCACATTGGCACTTTACCTTCCACTATGTTGAAAACACATTAGTAAACCCATAAGGATTGGCGTACATTATTTTTGACCAACATTATTCACATTTTCTGGATCATGTGAATGCCTTAATTTATATAAACATTCAAAGAACATGTGAGCAGTTTGATGCTGACAGCATACAGTAAAACACTCACTGATTGGTTGGAGGCTCATTTGCATATTTCACACTCTTATCAACATTGACAAGGCTGTTGACACAATAAAAATGAACAAGAGATACATTGTGCAGCTCTATTACAGGAACCATACACTAAGGGATGTCAAACAAAAGCAGATCAACCATGAACCTCCAGTGGAAAAACTACGCCTGAGGCTTAATCGCATTGTGTGAACCGTTCCAACTTCCACACAAGTGATTTCTTCTGCTCTCACTCTAGACCAGAGAGAGAACAGTATGTTCTTTATAGAGTAATAAACTACCATAAATAGGAACAGAGTACTCACACATTTACTTTAAAGCCCAAGAGATCAATAAAAATACTCATTGCAAAGATATGTACAGTGAACGGGCCAATGACAGGGTGTCTCATATAAGCCAGTCCAACAGTGAATGACCATGGCGTTGAGTTTTGTCTGTTGATTCTACGCAGGAATTGGAAGCAAGTGGTGTAATTCTACTAGAACCACATCATTGTGTGCTTTCTGATTCCTTATTTGGATTGTATGCACATGCCTGCTGTAACCTGCTATGTGCTTTGTCTTCTCTCTCTCATAACGTCCAGCTCAAGGCCACACAAAACTTTTTTTTTCTGCAGTCACTCCAAGCAGACATTAGCTAATGTTTGTGTATATCTTGCTCAAGACAAAGACAGTGACAAAACATACTTGGAACACCTACCAGTGCGCAGCATAAAACTCAAAAGGAAAAAAAGGTTGTATTTGAGCGCTGGTTGTATTTCAGTTAGACACTATTAATGACTAGTTTGGTAAAACTTCATTAGCATGTTTCC